ACGGCGAGTCATTTAGGTAGGCGAGACATCTTGATAATCGGGCTAATATGGACAGGCCCATATTATATTTTGCAGTGACCTTGCTTCAGTTGTTTGTGATCACCTTGTTAATATTTGCATAATAAAATTTGAAACAATTTAAGTGCAAGGCCAACAAATTTGAAATTGACCTTGACAGCGCCTTGACAACTTTACATTACGTCACAATCATTCTACTTATAAGGGCGACACGTTCGGTGATCCGGTTCAAATTCAATCGGGAAGCGCAGTAGGAGATTAAAGAAAAATTAGTTGATTACTGAAGATGGATTTAGAGGTTTACATACAGTTAATATTTCTGTGCGTTGTGAACATACTGTTCACTTGCGCAGGAGTAGTTTTAAATGCATTGGTGATAGTCAGTTTTTTAAAGTCCTCATTACATCTTCGGAAGAAATTATGCAATTTCATGATCATGGTCCTTTCGTGTTTCGATTTGCTCGTGGTTATAACGAAGCATCCATTATTGGCATTTCGCCTAGTGTTATGGCTAAATGAAAAGCATGATTTATTTAGCAAGACGCAGATTTATGAGCATTTTTCAACCACGATATTTGGCTTCTCTTTCGTTGCACTTCTGGTGATGAACATTGAACGATATCTGGGAGTATATTATCCTTTCTTTCATCGAACAACGGTAACCAAACGCAAACTGCTAATATTACTCGGAATATTACTCATATTACCACTTACCTTAGTACTGATTTCTGTGAACGACTGGGTGATTTCCTTTCCAATGGCTTCAATAATTTTCGTTATCATTGTAAATCCACCATTCGTGTTCATCAACTACAAATTGTTTAAAATTTCCAGAAAAATGCGTCGCGACAACACAACATCACCTGAGGTATCAACCTTACATGTTAACCTAAAAAACATTTCAACTTGTTTATTGGCAGTTGGCTGTCTTGTTTTGTTATCCATTCCAGGGAGCTTCTTCATTGCATTTAACTTTGTTGAGGAATCGACGTCAGAAAATGTGATGTTGTCTAATTTTTGGACTGTCACTGTAGCAACAGCGAATTCTACATTGAACTGTTTGATCTTTTTCTGGAAGAATAAAGTTTTACGCAGAGAAGGAATAAAGGTATTAAAGACCTTGAAAGGCTGTCTATTCGCATCCTAAAGCTGGTCTAGTTTAACAATGTTTGCCTGACACTTGTCCCATAAAACGAATCATTATTCATCCGGACGTGTAACACATCCATAGCAACGGACAATGAATGAACTAAATGTGGCTGGTATACTGTATTTTGTTAAAAAACTGGCAACTGAATAGACTGTAACACTATTGTTCCGTATTTAGTCTCAGAAGCTGACTTAAAATGTCTGTTTCATATTAAGGTCTGTATTGGAAAAGAGAAACATTTGTCAGTGTGTTAAGAGTGAATTAAATAATAGTGAATTAAACAAACTAGTTAATACCATTGGCATTGTTGTTGTTATGTTGGTTGTGTTTGATATATCGCACAAATATCGATATCCAAAAAAGGGAAATATTCGACTAGTATTTTATCGAACTAAAACAGTTGGTACTTGCCCATCACCAGCAGTCTCTAGCTTTTTATCGACTCGGGTGGAAAAAGGCAGGAAATTGATTTGGCAACTGGTTCTCGCACTTCCCATTTGTCAAACATTCCTTAGGTTATCGGTGAACAATTCTTCAGATTCAGCAAGTATGTTTGGTTTTTATCACATGCCATTTCGGTAAAGTACTAAAGAATTTACGCATTTTAGTATATAATTTCTTGTTTGGATAACGAATATTTTAGCCGTCAACATACTACGCAAATTGAAGCTAAAACAATTCTACACAATATTCCCTTTTTCTTGAAAAGAGAAAATGCACATATTCTGCGAAAACATTGTCAAGATTTATGTAAACCTGCCCGTGCCGAACAAATTTCGGCGGCCATCTTTCTTCTCTTCCACTTTGAATACAGAATTAATATTCCGTTTTCATCATACAAAATAAAAAAATAATAATTATAAAACAATTAAAAACAGTTAATTTATTTTTTATTTAAATCCTCGTCGGAAATTTGTTCAAATCGCATCGATCTCGAACACCCCCCTCTCCAAAACATACGTCAGCTGGTGGGTTTGGGATTGAACGCACCTCCTCGTAGTTGATAAGAAAGCCGCTAATACGCTAGGTATGAGATACGAGTCCTGGTTCGAATCCTGGCTTGATAAATAGGTACCCTCATAATTACTACATCTTCAGCAGGGTATAAAAGTAATTCAAACTGTACGTTTTAAATTAATACTCTGCATGGATTCGGAGTTTCCTGGCAAGTTGAAACGCGCTGTGAAGGCATTCAACGAGGTGTTCTTGATCGAACCGCGCCAATCACAAAACAAAATTAGCAAACACTTCAAGCGGCGACAAGTGCCACTACAAATTGCCGAGCCAGTAGAAATGTTTTCAACTCTAAAGCCTTTGTTTTAATCTCCTCAAACTATATTGAATTCATGCGATGGACAATACGCACCAACTTTTTCAGAGGATATAAACAGTACAAAAATTCGTGGACAGAAAGTCTATAGTAATATTCAAACGCAGTGTCCTTTATGACCTTAAATCTCCACCATTGTCTAAAAAGTAACACAATATACAAATTTCATGACATTTTCTAAGGAAGCCAAAAAGTTCAAAATACATTAATCATTATAATTTCTGTACACTTTCGTATGGACTAACTGCACTCGTTAGATTAAATGGTGAAATGGTACTATAACAATAAAATGTTCCTGATTTTGAGCTATTGTATTTCCAGCTCCGCACAAACATCGTGAGTTTGCATCCGGGAACGAGGATTTACATCCGGGCAACAAGATTTTAGCTAATCAGAGAATTTATTTGTCCCATTTGGAAGCTTCAATTTGTCCCTCGATTTTTCTCGCAATGCCCAGGCCCGTAACTCGCTAGCTATGAGTCACATCAGTCAACCGATCGAGTCAGTTGACTCGGTAAGATTTTTTGTGAAAGAATTCAGATAGATAGATAGATAGATGGATTATTGAACTTTAGAACTTACAGCCTCAGAAAATTTCACAGCTGAATTACGCTAAGTTTAACAGATATAAGATATTAGAAATATATGCTATGAAGCCTATTTACATTTAAGAATATTAAAAAAAAACAAATCGATTATCTAAAATATATATTAGAATTGTACATGATAAAACTATCATTAAGTCTGTTCGTTTTACACACAGGAAGTTCAAAATTTCTATGATATATTCCTTAAAAGATGATCGTCAATATTTAATGGCGGAAGGAGGTCGTATAAGTTATGATGTGAGTTGCTGGCTATTTCGTTAAACAACTTCGTTGTTAATTTTTGTCTTCGATCGTTCAGTGACAAAATGTTCTTGGTCGCCAAGACATCTTTGTAGTGCATATCAGGAAAAATTATGCGAAAAGCACGTTTTTGAAGTTTTTCTAAGTCATCGGATAGGTACTGCGGCAGCGAGTTATGGAATACTTCGCACGCGCACTCGACAACTGGACGAATACAGGTGATATAAAACAGGACCAGATCGTTGGGTGGCAATTTTGCACGTTTTAATTGTCTTAGAAAATATTATTTAGCCGTGTTGATACTTTTTTACAAGTTTTCGAAATATGAGTGTTCCATTTGAGATCATTAGAGATGGTAAGGCCCAGTAATTTTGTGGATGTTACAACCTCAACATTTTTACCATTAATAGTTATGGGCTCAAATACTTTGTTAGGCCTAGAAAAGCTTATCCGGAGCTCTTTGCATTTGGTTTCTTTTAATTGGAGGCCATCTGCAATTGACTTTCTGGCAAATTCGTCTACATAATTTTGGATTAAACTTGAGTCATTTCTACTTACGGACTCAGACATAGTTGTATCATCGACATACTTCCACAGAGCGTCAACACCAGATACATTTAGATCGTTTATCATTATTACAAAGAGCCAGGGGCCTAACTTCGTGCCTTGAGGGACACCTGCGGGTACATCACTCCACTCTGAGAAGCAGTCATTACTCAGTTTCACTCTCTGTTTGCGGTTACTCAGGAAATCTAAAATCCAGTACATAATGGTAAGCTTGTAAGCTTCTCCAATAAAATGTTACTAGAAAATACATGCATGCAGAAACCCTCGCCTTGCTGACAAAACCATTTTATTTTCCGAACGTGAAGTATTTGAGTAGTTGTCATGGTAACACGATAATTTTTTAAGAATATTTTTACAAATGAAAAATCTAACCTGAGTATCAGGCCCTTATGTTTTCATTCGCCAGGATTAGTTGGAGGCGGCGAATGAAGGAGGGCCTGATACAATTCTTTAAGGCACCGCATGTAAAAAGCCAGATTCTGGCTTTTTCGTCTGATTGGCCGATTAGACAGACGATTCTTTAAATCTGTCATTTGATTGGCTGGTGCTAATTAGATTATAGTATGTTGTTGCTATATTATATAATGATCACAACTACAATCATAGCCAGCCCACTAAACGACTGAATTTAAATTAAAACTGCAGTAAAATTAGAAAATAATCGCAAATTAGCGAAATATATTGCAAATGTAGCTTATATTAAATCGCCATCCGATTTCACTATCGACTGACGTATAGAGCATAGTATAGTTATAAAGTATACTTTATTATATATACTTTTTAATTATACATCAGTTCGTTGATAGTGCAATCAGGTGGCGATTTAATATAAGCTACATTTGCAATATATTTCGCTAATTTGTGATTATTTTTGTTAATTTTATAAGTTCATTGCAGTTTTAATTTAAATTCAGCCGTTAGTCTGGGACCTGTGTATGAGTTTGTATGCATTTCATTTAAGACAGATAATCTCAACTGTTTTAGGACAAGTTGACCATGACGGTCAACATGGTAACGCTGCCCGAACCCCAATCCGGGACGAAACGTCCGAAACTGACCACACCCAAAAACGACGCTTTCGCCATACTGCTATCTACCAAACCATAAAAGCTTTGGTTATTCTGAGGTGCTTATATGGTTCAGAGATGGTACTTTTGGGGGTGGTCATTGGTAAGTGTGAAATGCCAAGCACTAATATTTCACAAGAAAATGGCCATGCAATAAGCATAGTTAAACGTCAATTTGTGGCTTGCAAATTCAGATAAACAGCAGTGGACTTATATTACCTTTTTCCCTAAATCCTTTTGATAGAAACATAAATGGTACTTATTTAAATATATTATCACTGGTTTGGTGTAAAATAGTTAATATTTTCTGACCGAAATAATAATTCGAAATGTGCCTACCTCCTGCAAATGGACGTATTTGGCCAAGTTCTCCACTTTACTCCGTTGTTTATCGGCGATCTCGTCGACATCCTACAAAAAATGTAAATCATCTCAGACATAATGGTATCAAGAACATTTTAAACAAGTATCCACAACTTTGTCCAAATTCGGCGCCATTTTGTCATCCCATGTCGCTTGTTAACAATTCAGCCTTGTTACTCTTCCATCCAAGCCATTTCCATTCCACTAATAATAAATTTAACCCTTTATAACAGGAGGAAACTAAAAAATCTAAACAAAATATAAGAAATACGCCATTTTATCACCATGTAAAATTTTGCTCACGAGTCTTTCAATACATTCCGTACAAATATCGCGTGACAAAGCAACAGGGACGTGACAGGAGGGGGTGAATTATTTCACGAAGATAGAAGAAGGCTGCGTGAAATAGACTAAAAGCTAAATACAATCATACAAATGTTTGTTTTATTTCTTGTAGCGACAAATATATACATATTATTATTTATTAATATGAACAAGTCATACAAATTAAATGCTGATTGTTGGTTTAATGGTTTTACGATACTGTGTGGGGCTTTGCTTTCATTTTTCAAGTCTCTACCCCCCCCTGTCACGTCCCTGTTGCTAAACCACGCGAGATTTGTACGAAATGTTTTGAAGGACTCGTAAGCAACATTTTACTGGGTGATAAAATGCTGCATTTCGCATATTTCATTTGTATTTTTATTTTAATACCCTTAACAAAGGGTTAAATTTGTTATTTGTGCAATGGATATGGCGTGAATGGAAGAGTAACAAGGCCTAATTGTTGAAAACCGACATGGGATGATAAAATGGCGCCGAATTTGGACAAAGTTGGGGATTTACCTTGTCGATGGTTAAACAGGTATGATCTACTTGAAACCAAGTTGAAACTTGTTTAAAATGTTCTTGATACCATTATGTCTGAGATGATTTACATTTTTGTAGGATGTCGACGAGATCGCCGATAAACAGCGGAGTAAAGTGGAGAACTTGGCCAAATACGTCCATTTGCAAGAGGTAGGCACATTTCAAATTATTATTTCGGTCAGAAAATATTAACTATTACACCAAACCAGTGATAATATATTTAAATAAGTACCAATTATGTTTCTATCAAAAAGATTTAGGGAAAAAGGTAATGTAAGTCCACTGCTGTTTATCTGAAGTTGCAAGCCACAAATTGACGTTTAACTATGATTATTGCATGGTCATTTTCTTGTGAAATATTAGTGCTAGGCATTTCACACTTACCAATCACCACCCCGAAAAGTACCATCTCTGAACCATATAAGCACTTCAGAATAGCCAAAGCTTTTATGGTTTGGTAGATAGCAGTATGGCGAAAGCGTCGTTTTTGGGTGTGGTCAGTTTCGGACGTTTCATCCCGGATTGGGGTTCGGGCAGCGTTACCATGTTGACCGTCATGGTCAACTTGCCCTAAAACAGTTGAGATTATCTGTCCTAAATGAAATGCATACAAACTCATATACAGGTCCTCGACTACGTTTAGTGGGCTGCCTATGCTATAATTAGATTGTTGTTGTCGTTGACGTTGTGTGAAATTTAAATTTCTCCTGCGACATTTTGATTGGGTACTAAATATAAACTTTGCTGTGGGTGGAAAGCGTTCGGGTTAAGGTTTGTATCAGGCTCTATTTGTAAAATAGAGCCTGATACTCAGGTTACAAAATTATCAATTTCCTAAACATATATATGTTAGGTATGTTATTATACGTAATATAAGCTTGAATTTAAGGTAAAATTCAACCACAAACGCTTCGCAAAACGTTTTAAAATGTTCTTTTATTATAGAACTAAACTGCCTTTATCAGATAAACTTTGAGTTCGAAATAAAATGATTCCAAATTCTCCCATGCAAATAACTTTGCTCAGTATAATAAAAAGTGTAATCAATAAAGAAACACTGAAATAATACGCTGTCTTGTTTTATATTTATACACAACGATCGGCTTTTAAAGTAATTAAGTAGGTATGTTATTATACGTAATATAAGCTTCAATTTAAGGTAAAATTCAACCACAAACGCTTCGCAAAACGTTTGAAAGTGTTCTTTTAATATAGAACTAAACTGCCTTTATCGATAAACTTTGAGTTCGAAATAAAATGATTCCAAATTCTCCCATGCAAATAACTTTGCTTAGTATAATAAAAAGTGTAATCAATAAAGAAACACTGAAATAATACGCTGTCTTGTTTCATATTTATACACAACGATCGGCTTTTAAAGTAATTACAGCCGAGATTACAGTATATTAAAAGCAAACAATGCATCAATATTTAAAACAAACTTACCTTCGTTAACGTCGGCACCTTTACTTCCTTCTTTTAGCAATCCTCTTGCCTTTATTTCATCAAAAATCCTTTGCAATTTACAAAATCTTGCAAAATGAAATATATTTGCAAGAAATCATCAAATCAATTTCGCTGTCGTCAATCGTCATGCAGCCGTTATAATGCCAATTTTAAATTGGACCAATCAGTGTTGGCTATTCATTACAGTCCGCTATATTATGAGATCAGTGAGGATGACCACCCACCGAAACACGCACAGTAACCCACGCCCGCGATATTTGATGAACTTTAGACTTCGCTAATGCTTCCCTTCCCCGGGTGTAAATAGCCGGGGGGAATTAGTACCCTCGCACGGCGCTTCGCGCCGTCGGCCCGGGGATGATCAATCAGATCAAAAGCTTTCCGAAAGTCAAACAACATAACGCAGGTAGTAGAGCCATTTCCGTCTGTATTTTTGGTCCAGGTATGTAACATGGAGATGAGGGCATGTGTGGTGCAAGATTTAGGCACAGTACCAAACTGTCTCTTATCGATCCTTTCCATCACTGCTGGTTTCAGATAACGGTTCACAACGAAATCTTCCGCCAGTTTTGACAATATCGGTGTAAGTGAGATCGGTCGCAAATGATTGTTAATATCTTGAATAGATTTTTCCTTTGGGATTGCGACTACGTCCGCCTCCTTCCATGAAGGGGGAAGGCAACATTCACGATAGGAGCAATTGAGGATATCCGTTACCGAACCGGCTAATAAGTCGGCATTTTCCTTCAGTAACCACGGAGGTATATCATCAGGGCCAACAGCTTTTTTTGGATTAAGTTTTGAAAGCTTTTCAAAGGCGACATCGGCCGACACGGTAAGCACAGTGTCTGTCAGTACACTTTCAGTGCAGCAACGACGATGAAGATCCAAGGAAAGAGGTGCAAATATGGACATTGGGGACAAGAAGGTATTGTTAATCTCGTTTGCCAAGTCTTTCTTTACTGCACTGGAAGAACTATCATTGGGTCTTAAGGCTTTCACAATCTTATCAGAGATTTCCTCAACTACTTTCATACCGCTGAGTTTTTTGACCTCGTTCCACCAAGCATTAGACTAGCTCCCCCTTTTCAACCAGATACGAGACACAACACAAGGTCACCTTTTTTGTCCCATTCCCCCTGGCCTATGATTCCTCCTTTCCCCACCCCCCTCCCACTGATGAATGCTCTTACTTGGCCCCCGCTGACATAGTGAACATCCACGATCATAAACTCATGACATCTCCCCCTTATCAGGAAAACCTACAAAACATAACGGTTAGAATCACAAACAGAAGTTTTAACAAATCTTATAAAATACCCTCAAGAACACACGGTAATTTAATTACTGTCTCATTTAAAACCCAAAATGAGAACAAAAAGACGTTCGTGCCCAAAATATTACTCACAAACACCATGTCACTCACCCCTAAATTTGGCGAAGTCTCTTGATTTATGAAAATTCACAATCCAGACGCTGCTTGTATCACCGAAACTTGGCTCCATGGATCAATTGACGAATCGTGTCTTTATATAGATGGATATAATTTCATCTTCAAAAACCGTTCAGTGGGCTGTCATGGAGGTGTGGGTTTATATATTAATAACTCAATATCCTTTGAATGTTTGACCATCTACAGCATCCCTTGTTAGAGGTTCTCTGGGTACGTCTTACTCCCAAAAGATTACCCCGTGGATTTACCTGTCTTGTAATTGGCGTAATATACCACCCACCACGCGCCGATGATCATGAAATGCTCAGTTACCTTTCAATATCACTTACCACCATTGAAAGCGATTATCCAGGCTGTGGTCTAATGTTATCAGGAGACTTCAACCAATTAAAAGTTAACCGTCTACTGAACCAGTTTCAATGCAAACAAATGGTCAATGTTTCTACCAGAGCTGACAAGACTCTTGATCTAATTATTACCAACTTATACTCGTTTTACGCTAAAGACTCTGTGAGAAACATCCTCCCTTTGGCCTCTCAGATCACAATGTGGTCATTCTAAACCCTAAAAACAGATGCGATAAATCAGGTAGTCGAAAGGTCGTCATAAGTAGAGACATGCGTCCCAGTAAAAAGAGCGAACTCGGAAGA